GAGGGTAGAGAAAACAGTGCAACAATGAATGAATGAAAACCCAAAATCTCTGTAAATGTTCATTAAAACTAATAAAATTTAATAATAATAAAAAATTAAATTGCAAGGGAAAAAAATTCATCCTCAATTATTGTTACCTAATAGGATAGGACAGGGTTCAGATCTGTTGTTCATACAGTCGCTAGGAGTCAACTCAAAGGCACCTAATAACAATCTTCTATTTGGGTTGCCTGTCTTTTTCTTCAGGCACTCACTTAGGATACCAGTTTTAGCCAATTATCTATGTAATAGCTTTCTTCTCCCACTCTGAGTTTTATACTTTTCTCTTCTCATGCTGTGTTTTAAGGAGTCACTGAATGGCAAGAATGGTTAAGCATTCCACCATTAGCGAAAAGGATGGTGAATTATAAACACGAGCTTGATGTTTCTAAAGGTCAAACCCTGAAAACTACATGATACAAGACAATAATTTGATGAATTTGGGAAGAGAGATTTCCCCCCCTCCAATTTTAATCTAAGAAAGTTTATAAACCCATACCTTTTCAATCTATATGCAGAACAAATCATCCAGGATATGAGGAGGAATGTGGCATCAGGTTTGGAAGAAGATTCATCAACAACCTATGTTATGCAGATGATGCTTGCTGAAACTGAAGAGGACCTGAAGCGCTTGCTGCAAAAGGTCAAGGACTAATAGTCTTCAATATAGATTGAAGCTCAACAACATGAAGACAAAGATTCTTACCACTGGGCCAAATGTCAGCACAGTGATAGATGGAGAAAAGACTGAGGTTGTTAACACAGTTTGCTCAGCTCCACAATCAACACTCTTGGCATCAGCAATCAGAAAATCAAAAGATGAATTGCACTCGGAAAATCTGCTCTCAGGGACCTCTCCGGAGTACTGAGAAGAAATTATGTCAGTCTAGAGACTAAGGTGCACCTGATCCAGACCATGGTCTTCACAAATTTTTGCTATGCATCAGAGAGCTGGACAATGACGAAGGATGACAGAAAAACTGATGAGTGGTGAGAATCTTTGTTTTCTTGATGTTGAGCTTCAATTCTTATTTAAGGCTGCAGTCCTTGACCTTCTGCAGCAAGTGCTTCAGGTCCTCCTGTTTCAGCAAGCAGGGTTGTGTTATCTGCATAATACAAGTTGTTGAGTCTTCTTCCTCTAATCCTGAAGTCACATTCCTCCTCATAGATAGAGCCCAGCCTCCCAGTTGATGTTCTGCATATAGATTGAAAAGGTGTGGAGACAGGGCACATCCCTGGCTTACACCTTTCCCAGTTTTGAAATATGCAGTGTTTTCTTGCTCTGTTTTGATGACTGCCTTCTGGTCCAAGGGTAGGTTTCGCATAAGCACAAGCAAGTGTTTTGGTTTTCCAATACTTGCCTTTATTCCAATTGAAATTTTATTGGTTGTGATGTAGGAGGAGCTCATTTTATCTCCTCCCCAATACAACTCACTGTTTTCCTAATGTTGTTGTTGTTATGTGCCGTCAGTCGCTCGCAACTCATAGCGACCCTGTGTACAACAGCCCTAAACCCTGCTCTATCCTGTGCCAATCGCACTGCCTCTGACACTCCCATCCCGATTACCCCAGTCACCGAATCAATCCATCTCATAGAGGGCCTTTCCCTTCTGCGCTGTCCCTCCACCCTCCCAAGCATGATGTCCCTCTCCAAGGATCGGTCCCTCCTTGCAACATGTTCAAAGTATGTCAGACGGAGCTCCAGAATCCTTGCCTCCAAGGAGCCGCCTGGTTTGACTCTCTCCAGGCTGTCTGTTTTCCCAGCAGTTCAAGGTACACTCAATACTCTTCTCCAGCACCACAGCTCAAAGGCATCAATTCTCCTTCTATGCTCCCTAGTCATTGTCCAACTCTCTGAATGCATAACAAGGGATTGCAAAGACCATGGCCTGTACCAGACGCACCTTAGTCTGCAGTGTCACCATTGCTCTTCAGTACTTTGGAGAGGTCCCTAACAGCCGACTTTCCCATCCTGAAAAGACCCTCTTTCCCAATATGCATCGCCTCAAGGCTTGTTGTTAGTGGTTTATTGGTTTGTTTCACAACTCCTTACTATACTTTCACCAGAAAAGATGGGTATTTCCCAGTTTGTTGTTTATTTACTGCCGTCAGCATACACTTAATGTTCTAAAGCGATTTGTGTTTACTCAGGTTTTCATGATGACATGAAAAAGCCAATTTATTTTGCCTGTGAGAATTTTAAGGAAGAAAATACCTAGTGAACTAAGCCGCGGTGACAGACTGCAGCGGCGCTGGGGGTCAGAACGCAGAGCGCCCGCACAGCAGCCAGTTCAACAGGCTCCTCCCAGAGGCAGCGCGCGTTTGCGCCAGCGGCCGTGACACGCCCCACACGGCTAAGTGCGCCTGCGCCGGGGATGCCGCGCCCGCCTCCTCCGTCGTCTATAAAGGCCGTGCGCCTCGCCTCGCGAGAGGCTCAGTTGCTCATGCTCGCGGCTGTGGTCGGAGGTCAAAGCGAGCGTCTCGCGGGCCGGAGGAGAAAGATGGCGGTGGAGTCGCGCGTCACTCAAGAAGAAATTAAAAAGGAACCAGAGAAGCCAATCGATAGGGAGAAGGTGAGGGCCCAGATGCGCTGGGATGCGGGTGGAGGTGCGGACGCGGCCTCCTGGAGAGTAGAGGGATCTGGGGGAGCGGCGGCGGCCTGGTGCACCGGGCGGCCGGAGGGGACTTCGGCTCTCGGCGCTTTCTTTAACGCTGTGCATCCTTTCCTGCCTCCTTCCTAGACGTGCCCGCTGCTGCTGCGGGTCTTCACCACCAATAACGGTCGCCACCACCGGATGGACGAGTTTTCCCGCGGGAACGTGCCCTCCAGCGAGCTGCAAATCTACACTTGGTGAGAGGCCCCATCGGGCCCCGCATCCTTCGCGCTTTTCCTTTGCTTGATGGTGGGGGGAGGGAGCATCGTGGGAAAGTTAAAGAGGTCGAAGAGGGTTTGCCAGGCCTAGTCGCTCAGCGCTTGTCGTTGAAAGGTGGGTGTTTACAAGATGACAGAGCCGATGTTGCTGTCACGATGATGCCCCGCTGCTCAGAGTGATAAATAACCGTCCTTTTAAAAAGGATCCAAGAGGAAAGGGTGCTAGATGCTATTGAATGCTGCTGATGCTGTGAACCTCGAAGAGTATTTCTGTGTAATTTTAAGGTTTTGGTGTCTTCTGGGTGGTGGTGGTGGTTAGGTGCTCATCTTGGCCCCACCTTGACCCGACCTTTGTACAACACAACAGACCAGCACCACCGACTTCTGTGCAGTGTCAGTCCACGGTTGCAGCCCCTGAGCCAGTCCAGCTCATTGAGGGTCGTCCTCCCCTTCGCGTACCCCCTTTCCAAGCACAGTGCCCTTTTCTAGAGACTAGTAGCCCCTCCTCATGGCATCCCCAAAATAAGTCTCACCATTCTTGCTTTTAAGGAGTTTTCTGGAGATGCGCTTCTTCCAAAACATTTTTTTAATACAGTTCGTGATATGATAGGTTTCTTATTCTTTGTCAGCTCCACAATTCAAGAGAATACATTTCTTTTAGTCTTCCTTATTCCTTGTCCCAATTTTCACACATGTGAAGTAATTGAAAATACCATGGCTTGGGTCAGGCACACCTTAGCACTAAAAATTAACTGCCAGCAAAAAAGTGATTTGTAATCTGGAACTTAATAGAAAAATTCCTCGTCATTGAATCAAACTGATATGTAGCTGACCTCCAGCAGTTTTTTTGAGGCTCTAAATCACAGGGAAGGACATTGCCCATTTTTCTTTCCTCGGAGTTTCTGGTGGATTAGAACCTTTGAGTTAGCAGTGCATCTCCCTGCAGGCGGCACCACCAAACCTCCTGGTATGTGTGGGTGAAGTTTGGCTCGTGCATATTTTCCCTTTGTGTACCTTTCCTCTTTCCAGATCTGGCTAGGGCCATTCCATACTACCATACTGTTGTACTACAATAATGTCTTTAGTACTATGTGATACCTTAGGGTGATGTCAAGGGGGTGTGAGTGTGTATGTATGTATGTGACCCATTGCTGTGATTCGAATCCCAGCAGCCCTACTGGACAGATTAGAACTGGCCATTTGGTTTCCATAGCATTAAATCTTTAAAGAAGCCAACTGCCACATCTTTCTCTTGTGGAGTGACTGTCGGATTTCAACCCGTGATATTTTGGTTAACATCCATGTTCTTAGCTATTGCACCATCAGGGTTCCATAAAGTCTCTTCAATAGTAGTAAATCGTGTATAAGTGAAACTTTGAGTCCTGTGTACTAGCATTTAAGCCTTCTGAAGATTGGACCTCATTTGTCTCTTTGGAGGTTGGTTAAATTTCTGAAGTAGTGTGATTCTTATTCTCTATCAGTTCCTTAAAGGGTAAGAGTTCCAGCAAGGTTGATTTAACTTAAGTGTTAGATAAATGGATTGCTTAGAAACCTTTGTTCAAAGGTTAATGTGTATATTTAACAAGAGTTATTTCTTTAAGTCTCTAGTGGTGCTTACAGCTAACATGTGCCAAAAAGTTAGCTCAAGTTCTTCTAGAAAGGTTCTTTAGGACAAAGACCTGAAATCTACTTCTGAAGAAAATCAACCATTGAAAATCCTGTAGAGCAGGGTTCTTTGCATGCACATAAGTAGTCATTACCTTGATAAGTTAAATTGTAACTGATACTACATGCTAGGTGCTTTGCTTATACATAAGGAGTATAAAGTAAAGGACTTACTGCTGGCTACAGTAAGTTTCTTCTCAAGGAGAAAGAATTGAATAGATAGATAGATAGATAGATAGATAGATAGATAGATAGATAGAAAGAATAAAATACCATATTAGACTTTAAGGTTAGGTTGTAACACAGACCCTCTATTCCCAACCAAAAAAATCATGTCTTAAATTAATAAACCTCAAATAAAATGAAGACAAGACAAAGATTCTGAAAGCCTTGAAGGGTGATGTGCACAATCCTCCCTTCATATTCACCCACTCCCCCAGCAGTAATGGAATATTAGTTCACCAGACTGGAGAATTCTCATTAACATTGTTCAGTTTGGAATAGTAGAAGGAGGGGCTAAAGAAGACAATTGTGAGGATAGTCAAGGAGAGGATGAATTGGGACCTAGAGTAGCTCTGCTGAGGTAGGTAGGACTTAACCAAAGTCTAAGACTTTGTGTAGGGTTGGGGAGCAAGCCAAGCTCCACAGCAAAGGAATATGTTTTATCCTTGGGTAGACATTACAGGTATTGGAAGAGAGGTACTTAGGTCACTATATCAATCTGCTTCAACCAGAAGAGAGTACAAGTTGGCACTATAAAAAGATTGGTTATAAAGGATTGGCTGATATGATTGTGCATCTAGCTTGGCAAGTGTCAGCTCTGTAGGGTAAGAGTGGGCATCTATCTAGAAAAGACAGGCTGGAATTCTGAATTCAGAGCTTAAGTTGCCTCCCACATGTGAGATATCTGTTGTGAAGTTGCAACTCTGCTTTAAAGGCTTTTCAACTGATTGAATCAGGTTCACCCAGATTATCATGGATAATTTCCCTCATTTAAAGTTGAGAGATGATGGATTTTAATCACAACCTCAAAATAACTGTAGTGTACTAAGTTAAATTAAATGACCTCTTTGGACTCTGGAGTTCTGTGCTTGGTGTGGTATAGGTTAGGAGCTGAGTTCACCCATTCATAATTGCAGAATTTCATAACACATGCTCATTCTGTTGGCAGCCTTTTTAAGTTCCATACTATCAACTAATTTTCTTTTTAAAATTTTTTTTATTACTAATTTTAATGAAAATTTACAGAGATTTTCCATTTCCATTCATTCATTGTTACACTCAATTCATTTTCCAAGTTGTCATGGAAGAAAACAAATTAGTCTGTCCTGGAGGGGATGAAACCAAGTGTCTCACACTTTGGGCATGTGACGTGGAGGGACAGCACAGGAGAAGACCCTAAATGAGATGGTTGGCTTGGGGACTGGAGAAATGGGATTAGGGCTGTTGGAGATGATGAGATTGGTTCAGGATAGGGCAAATTTCAGAGCTAATTCATACAGGGTTAGCCCAATGGCACATAACAACAGTATGTGCCATATATACCCTATGCCAACATTATGTGCCATTCATAGTGACCTTATGAAGAGTGGATCATAACCCTGCCCTCTCCTCACCATCTCTGATAATACTTGAAGCAACTTATAGCTGAGCCTTTGGTGGGTTTTCAGCTTCTATAAACTACGTGGAAGGGGACTGGCCATCTTCCTGTGGAGCAGCTGGTGAATTCAAACTGAGAGCCTCTGGGTTGGCAGCACACCCCTCCCCCACTAAGCTACCAGAACCTCCTAAATAATTTAAACACATAAATTATGTCAATACTTGTGTTGATACATTATTACTAATTAATCAGTTTGTCCTTTTTTTGAACCCCTCTCCAGGATGGATGCAACTTTGAAAGAATTGACCAGCTTGGTAAAAGAAGTCTACCCAGAAGCTAGAAAGAAGGGCACACACTTCAATTTTGCAATTGTT